GTACAATATCTATTCAGTTTAATAGTATAAACTTTTTTATACCTAAATTTGGTAAGAGGTACTGTATATTAGTGTGCAGTTTTTTTTTTATACACTAAATAAAATACAAGTACTGTATATTTACTTGTACATTTTTCTTTGCGTTAATCAGTGTGAAGTTATGCACGTGACCAAAAAAAAATATGGCCGATTGGTCAGTTTAGCAACAACATTTGCGTTAATATAATTTAGATTAAATTTCAGAAAATAAAAGTTATAATATTTACCCACATTGAAGTCAAAAAATAATTGTAGGCTAACATAATTCAAAAACTGGATAAAACTTTTTTTTACGAAAAACCCATACTGGCACAATTCGAAGCAGCGATGATTACGCAGCGTGTATCGCGGTAACTATGCAGCCATTTTGTTTTGTCGAGTATTTGCCTGTTTTCTGTTCGACTGGTCGTCTTCGTTAAGTAGGATTTTACCACCGCGCACGTGGGCGTGGTTTAACAAAGAACGACTAGTCAAATAGGCAAATTCTTCCACATTAATTTATTTATTAAAATTCAATAATAATTTACAGTCGGTCTTAATATTTATTGATTTACCTTAGGGTTTTGCATTTTATGTTTGTTATTTCTAAGGAAAATAAATTATTATTGAATTGTATACAATTTTATAACTACAGTATAAACTTTTTTATATCTAAATTTGGTAAGAGGTACTGTATATTAGTGTGCAGTTTTTTTTTTTTTTAATAAATAATACGGCAATTATTACACCCGGTCATTATCACGCACTCCGGTCTCTTAAGAATTCCATAATGTTGCAGCTGTAATCAGCGCATTTTGTCAGGCACATACTTGCACTCCGAGGTGGAAGAGAGACAGCCGAAGGTAAAGCGACACAACCTCCAACCTCAAGGCTGAGAAGCAGAACCGAAGACGGTGCGCCAAACTGCTCCTACATTTAATGCCAATCCGAAGTTCTGATTGGTGGAGCTGAATCAACCCTAGTCTAAAACTTCAGTTTCGCTATCATAATACTCTAAGTTTTTCATGTTAGAAAAATAACCATTTCCTTTATAATATTGTTTCTTTATTCTTTTACTTTAATTGATTTTCTTTTTATTGATTTATAGATTTTTCTTCCACTGTTTCTAGAGTAAATTTATGCAATATTAGTGTTTTTGATTCATTCACAATATCTCTTTTTATTTTTTTACAAATCGGATTTAATTATTTTTCAAAATATTATACATAATGATTGGCGTTTTTTAGAAATCTGATTTTTTCAATTTTTTTTAGCGCCACACCAGCCTAGACTTGATTGGCAGATGTGGTTTGCAGCTCTCGGTAGCTACCAATACAACCCATGGTTTTTAAACCTTGTGTACAGGTTATTACAGGGAAAACAGGAAGGTAAACAACAATATTACTGTGTATAAATCTCTTTATTTTCACATACTTTTAATTTTATAAATACTGATAATGGTAGGTTTTTACATCATTAAAAAAAAAAATAACGACTGGAAATTTCGACATTTTCAATTCAAAGCTTATTTCCGAAATGCTTCGCAGTTAAAAGCTAAATTACTACAAATGGTTACAATTTACATATAAGAAATTTTCAAATATAAAAAATATATTTATATTAAAAACATTGCGAAAATTAAAGGCCGCAAATATTTTAAATTTTAAAGTTGCAAAAATAAAGGGATTTACAGTGTACTCTCTACATTTTAAGCTTGTTATGAGCTGATCCTAATGATGATGATGATAATAAATTAATACTGTACTGTATGTTTAAACTTTCAGTAAACACCATGCGTAATAATGTGGTTTAGAGATTCAAGATTCAAGAGCACTTTACTTCCCCATTTTAAAACATGACATTTGTTTTTTCTTTGCAACAGTCTTGGTTAGAAAGGATAAAGTTACATGAAAAATCACAAGACAAAACAACTAGGCAAAGACGAGAAATATGTTAAAGTCAGGCTCCGGAGGAAAAACTGGGGAACAGTGAATGAGATACAGATTTTTTAATATTTAAAAACTGGGGAAAAAAGGGACGTAACTGCCCATTTTTACACCTTATTCCCCCAGTTTTTAAATATTAAAAAATCTGTATCTCATTCACCGTTCCCCAGTTTTTCGTCAAACAACTTTTTTCTGTCTAGAAAAATCAGTTCTACAACATATCAAAAATTGTTTTCCTCCGGAGCCTGACTTTAAGATATTAACAAGTTAAAATAGTAGTTCTTGAGATACTGTAGTACCACTGGTAATGTTTGATGTACAACACCTTTGATAATGTTCCATTCTATAAAGGGAGCTGTATTAAATTAGTGAAGAAATGTAATGTTAATTAACCTCATTAGGGAATGTGGACTTTTACTAGAGTATCACCATTGCCATAGCGCCTATGAACATTGCATTCTGCTGTGGATATTAGCGCTATACAAATCCTTGTTGATTATTGATTATGTTTAGGAGAGATAGCTCTGATGATGATTGTAAGAGCTATCTCACCAATGACGATCAGAGCAAACTCAATGAAACGTTGACACACTCGACCATGGTGTACCGAAAGTTTAATTATAATATTGTTACCATGGATACTCTCAAGATACATGATGATGGTAAATGTTAATAATGTTACATGGCATTATAATGATGATAATAATATTAATTATTGTTGTTGTTCCAAATATAGAGTTGACATAACTAAAAATGGGTTTACTGTGTCAGTAGACTTTTTCTCTTTATATAATAAATTTCTGTTACAAACAATGAACCATCAGTTGATATTTTTCACCAACCTCTTCATTCATTTTTAGCCCAAGTTAAACTAGTCATTTGATCATTCACCTGCTCTGGAATTGAATTTTATTGAATTTTCTTATATAAAGTTCATTTTATATGATAGTAACTATTGTAAACTGATTCAATCTAAATATTTTTGTACTTTTTTCAATATTTTTTATTCTATTGTGATTTTATCAGTTTTATCGCTGTGATTTTATATTGTATTTATTGTATGCTCTCTGTTATTGGCATTTTGGCTGTTGGGGGTGAAATAAAAATAATAAATAAAATAAAAGATGATGATGATAATATTGATGTTAATATTTAAATATTAGTTAATATATAAATTTGCAGTATACAGGAATCCCAAGTTGGAAGAAGGCAATCTCTGGAGATCTGGTTATATGAGCTTTAACCTTTAACCTTTTAACAGATGTGTACACAATGAAACACATCGCCACTGTTTTTCGTGAGACAGTTGATAATAAAGTAGTAAAAAACATGGAAATATTTGCGGGAGATGTGTTATTTTCGGGAGATTCTTGCTGAGTGCTGAAGATCATTTTGATTTTTTTGGGAGACCCCCTGCAAGTTGTCAGAATATGCCACGTAAAATTGATAACGCTGTATTAAATGAAAAACGATAGAATTGTGAATTCGCATATGCATGAACTGATGCTTTTAATTTCTTAAATAAATTTGCCTACTGGAAAACAGGCCAGGATATCTCTCAACATATCCGTTTTTGCAGAACTAAATACTGTATGTGGTGAACCTCAAATTTTATACACTTTTTATTTATTAATAAGGCATGATCTTTAAACAATATAACATATTGTGATGTTCCATGCTGGTGGTGATGACTGATTGAAAAATTGTTTGCATCTATTTCATTTTATTGTATAGTGCATATTGTACAACATTCTCCAAAGTTTTCATTAATTATAAAGATTTAAAATTAAATTATTGACTCTTTTTCAGTTGTGGATCTCATCGGACCATCACCATTTCCTGATAAACCACCAAAATATATCCGTGCCAAACATTATAATTATCATTATACAAGAGTAAAGTAAGTAAAATGATTTATTAAATTTAATTGATATAGGTCATTGATATCAGTTCAGACTCACAAATCCAGCATTTCTCATTCTGT